TCAGAGTTTTGTGCCTTGGAGTCCTTGAAGTCAAACAGAGGCTTACACACCTCTCCATTTCCAGGGCCCAGCCCAGGGGCTGGCAGGTAGCAGGTGTCCCATACGTGATGGAGGAGCGCAGTGATGTCAAGCAGCACATTGGACTCTGGGGGTCCTGAGACACTGACACTAACAATGGCTAGCGTGGCTTCTTGATTTAAGCCTTGAATTGGGCCAAGAAATGACTTCCTAGTAAACCTATCCCGTTTTCATGGGTAGAAAGAGAAAATTTTATAGCCAGAGCACAGAAGGATTCAAGCAATTGAGTAGTATCTGAAACAGCCTGAAAAAGAATGGGGTAAAATGAAGAGATATTGAGAAAAGTTACTGAGTGAAGGAAACAAGCAATAACAATCTGAAATCAACACAACAAATTAATAAGTATTTATTCTACATCCATTATGTGTTAGTTATGTTGCTGGCCACGGTGGGTGACTAAAAAGATCTGTAGCCTCACTGTACCTTATATAATCACTCAATTTGGAAGCTTTTTAGGTAACTCAAATGATATATTCCTGCAGAATTCTTGGTTATACACACACATACTTATGTACATAAAGACCACTGAGACCCACTGAAGGCTCAGGAAACGCATCTTCCAAACTAGGGAAGTCTAGAGGATTCTGGAACCTTCCTTGTCTACCCTTATGACAGGTGCCTTTTGGTCACATTTGGGGGGAAACGGGAGAGATGGTAATTGTGGCAATATCTATTGCAATTAGATTTAGTGTCTTTCCCTTTACCTCTGAGACTCTCAGAGCTGTGAGTGAGAAGCTGGCAGGACCCATACCAATAAGAAAAATGGGAGACTGAGAGGGAACAATCTTGTGGTAGCTTGTGTGGTACTGCTTTGTGGTATTATTTGAAGGAGTCATATGGGAAATTTTTTATTACATACTTTATGGAATAATTTGCATTAGGTCAAGTTTGTATACTCTCAGGAGTGCTTATAAAACATGATCCTGCCCAGCCGGAGTGGCTCAGTTGGTTGACAGTCGTTCTGTGCACCTAAAGGTTGTGGGTTCGATTCCCGATTAGGGCACATGTGGAAGGCAGCCGATGGCTGTTTCTCTCTCTGTCCCTTTCTGTCTCTAATCATGTCCCTGGGAGGGGATTAAAAAACAACAACAAAAAACCCAACATGATCCCTAATTTCAAGGGTAGACATGGCAAAAACAAGAAAGAGAAAATTATTACAAAACAGGGTGTCCTGTAAGGAAGAACTTCATGTTAGAAACAATTCATAACTTACAAGTTGCTTCTGGTCAAGATGGTGATATCCTGTTACCTTAGAGCAAGCTGTGAGCTGGAAAGAATCACTTGGATGACCCCTTTAGTCAGGTGAATAAAGGTAGCTGAGCACCTAATCTTGTGGGGGTAGGCACTACTCCCCCTAACCTTATGGAGTCATTTATTCTCTTTATGGTGACTTTAACAATATGGTAAGTGCTGCTGAATACCTATTATGTCCCAGGTACTTTGCCAAGAGCATTATCTATATTATCACCTATTGATCCCTCTGGCCCAGTTCACTGTTAGTTCTTTTGACCCACACCCCATGACCCCAAGCTGAATTAATAATTCCATTACTAATTATTAATTGGTAATTAATAATGCTCCACTCATTCTGTTCACTGCTTTAATACAGCACTTCTCATTCTGTAGCCTACATTTCTGGCTGTCCCACTACCCAGTGAGCTTGGAGGGAGCAGCACTCACATCCCACACCAATTTCCCAGCATTTGGTCATTCCTAAGTATTCTGTTGAGTGAATGTTGAGTAGTTCCATGATTCTTCAATGAGTTTGAAGAATCATGGAACTTTTGAGCAAGAGAGGAATTAGAACCTCTGCTACAATCTTCTTTTACATATGTGAAAAATTAAGTTGGAACAAGTAACTTCCATGAGGTCACATTAACTTGGTAGAATGAGATTAGTGTCCAGTTTCACAGCTTTTCAGCTCAATACAGTTTCTTCGGAAGAAGAGGCTATCAAAACACAGCTAATTTCTATTTCCCAATCTCCTGGCCCCGCCCAAATCCTATCAGCAATTGGCTTTTGGGCCTTCAGGCTATTTCTGTGATATTAAATTTCCTGAAAGAGCCCGCTTTTATATATAGCTTTTCTCTCACAGTTCTCCATTCCAAAGTCCAAACTCAAAATTGGTTGGTTTTGGCTGTAGCATCAGTGTAAAAGTTGTGTGTGCGTGGGGGGGGAGAGGGGCATTCTGTCTATATTCTCACCAACAAGCTCCTTCCACGAGCTCACTCTGAGCTCAGCCAAATCAAATGCTTGTGAACACACACCACGCTCTTCCTTCACCGTTCGTTCTGACGGCAGTAGCCTTCCTCCTTATCAACCTGGTGAGCTTGAAGAAACTGCTGCTTTTTTGGACTGGGAGCTTCTAGCAGAGTGGAGATCTGGCTTTAGCGACACGCTGATTGAATGAGTGAATTTTGCGTGTCTAGCACCTGGCAGCACAGCCCTTAAGAAAGTTCACTGAATGATTTCGTCTTTGGAAAATTACAGAAATGTAACTTACTCTTCAAAATTGTAAGCAACCCTCTACCAAAAATTTTGTTTGGAGGAAAAATAAGTAAATATGTTGGCTCGCTGTCCTTTTTTTCTTTAACTCCGGCTCATCTGCTAGGACTGCCATTCTCACTCCCTCTGCGAACTCCACATTCTCCCAGCACCTCTGCCCCTGGACACTTGTGGGAGAGGAATCCACAAATTCCTTTGGGGCTCCATCCCTGGAGCAAGTTCTCAGGAGCTGGAGAAGTCTGGGCTGCAAACAGGAAGTTTTTGTACTTCTGACCAGCACGCGCCTGGGGCAAACGGCGGCCAACCTGTGCGGACAGTCTGACCAAGTGTCAGTGGGCTTCTCATTCCCGAGCTGGCAAATAGCACGCACGTCTGCACGGCCCCGCAGCAAGCGGTCGGGTCGGAAGCCCCCACCTCCTCTCCCTCACGCTAAACAATCTTGAACGGGACATGTGCAAAATTGTTTTGGCATTTTAAGTTTTCAAAGCACCCGAAGGGATGTCCCCTTTTGACAGGCTGAGCGCCAAAGAGGAGCAGAGGTAGGTCCCATCATGCAGAACCCCTTTTCTCCTCCCTCGGTGCCCAGGACGTCCTCTTGCCCCTTCGGCGCACATGCGGGGCAGGAGGCCGCTTTCCTCCACCTGCGCCGGCCTCTGCAAGGACACCTATCCGTCTCCAGCCTCCCAGGGCAACTGGAGGCTCCCGGCCGCGCTCAGGGCCCCTGCCCACGGGTGCGGGCCTGGGTCCGCGCCGGCCCTCCGCAGGCAGAGGGCACCGGGCAAT